CAGTCAATGATATCTCTTGATAAATTCTACAATTATATGATGAGTAAGGATTTAGTGAATAAAGCTGTGGAAATATTGGAAAGTTGTGGGGGTACATTTGCTATGAATGTGAAAGATGGAGCTTTTTGCCGGGACGATGAAAATAGTACTGAAGAAGCATTGAAAAATATAACTTTGGGATTAAAAAAGGAGAGCGTGCAGCTGTAGCGTGGACAGTTGGGGCGGAGAAGTCTTTCCTCCCTACATGAGTACCTGGTTAGATGCACAAGTAGTCGGGTCAGGTATGACTCTCATCCTTCTGTTTGTTTGATTAATACAAACATAATGTAGGATATCAATTACCTTTTGCTTCTTATTGCTACCTCTTTTATGTGTTATAAAAAAAATAATGTAGACTATTAAGCAATTACCTCTGAAATATAATTTTGACTTCTTATTGGTGGTCTAGTACATTTTCATTGGTGTATTGTTTGATCTCCACTGAATCAGGAGTTTTAATGGTCAACAAAGTCAGACTAATGTGCTTCATTCCTTTGACTCTAAACCTTAGTAATCTTTGAGTCTAATGAACTTAAGGCGTGTAATGAAAATACCATTACATTGCATTAGCTGATTAGTTACTTTACAATTGCAGAGCGTAATTTATATTTTTTGCTTGTTTATCTATTATTATGGATTAACAGTCCTAAATGCAAGCAAACTCAATTATTTTGTCGGTCTTGAGCTAGTTCATGTTGTCCTCAGCTGAAGCTCTTGGTTCTATTGCATCCAGTAACCATCTTTAAAAAATCAATATTTTTCGAATAACACTTACTCTAATATATAGTCCTTGATGATTGGTTTGGTATGGGGGAGCATGTATCCAATTACAATAACAAGACACTAAAGTGAGCATGGATCTTTCATTTAAAGTATTCTTATTTAATATTCTGTCAATTGTTCTTCGCGGTGTTGTAATTTCTCACATTGTTTTTTATAATATAATTAGAGAACTATGGAGGTAAAGTTACATTGGCTTCTCTGGTGACTGCTGCTGCAGGAGCTACTATAATGTTGTTTATATATTACATCCATATTATTTTTAACAGTTTAGGAACAATTAATGTTTTTAATATTTACTCTTACATTTCATGGACCTGCATAGTGTACAGGCGGACCATTAAAGTATCAAGATGTCTAAAATTAGATTCATATAATTATATTAGTTTTGCTACATCAAATGAATATTGTACACCTAGCGTCATTGAGTCTTTTAAAAAGTTTTCTGCAAGCACTTGCACTGCTCGTGCACATGGAGGTAAGCATGATTTTGTAAAAAAATATTGTTGTGTCTCGCTGAGTAGGGAACTTTGGATCTAAATTTGTCTTCTCAAGTACTACAATCATCCATACAAAATTGGAAGAATGTGTGACTAATTTTGTTAGCAAGCCAGTTGCTATCGTTATAGGCATGCGTTATGTAACAAATTCAGCCATACTTTTTTTGATAAGAAAGATACAAAAAGTTTATATAAGTTATTCTTATGTTTTAGTTGTGATTATATTTTTTATTTTAGTTTGGTCATTTACAGGGAGGTTTGATTATCAATGATTCTCCTAACGACAACTCTATTGTAAATGTTGCTCGAGGGTCTGGAGCTACTATTTGGGTTTTGCAACATAACAGTAAGTTTCTACAACTTGGGCTATGTCCTTGTGATGACCTGATAGGTCATCTTATGATTTAGAATTCAATTCTGTGCTTTGAAGCCTTAAACGCCTAATCTTAGCCCTCATTGATTTGCGTGCTGATGTGCCGTAGAATTGCGGTAGCTCATCTTTTAAAGTATTTTAAGTCAATTCTTATGTAGTTTTGGTGTTTTGCAGCAAACTAGACTTGAAGAACCAAGAACAAGGAAAAGATGATAAAAACCCATAGAAGGGCAGAAATGCGGCAAGTTTGCGACCGCAAAAGTGTTGTGCGGGCTGCAAACCAACCGCAGAGTGAAGCAGATAAACCTAGTTTTTGGAATCGATTTTGCGGTCAATTTTGTGGTCGCATAACTCTTACGCGGACCGCATAATGACCGCATAAGTGCAAAGAGAGTTTCTGCGAGAACCATTCTGCGACATCAAATGAGATCCCAAAATTAATGTGTGGACTGCATAATGGATCTGCGATGGAAAACTGGGCAATTGGACATTCAATTATGCGATAAAATTGCAGTTATGCGGGCCGCAAAAGTGTTCTGCGGCCCGTTCTGCGGTCGCAGATGTGATATGCAGGAGTATTTTTGTCATATCTTGACCTCAACTTTTAGCCCATTATAAATAGAATAACTAGGGTCTTGTGGGGGCATCTTGTCTAGAAAAGAGGCATTGAATACACCATTATTCTGGAAGCTTTTGAAGAAGAGAATCTTGTCATCTTTGTAAGCTTTATGACTTCATTTATTGCTTTGTTCTTGGATTCTTGTATGAGTAGCTAGCTTTAAATACTAAGGTTGTGGACCCTAAATGGGTGTTTACTATTGAATATATATATATATATATATATATATATATATATATATATATATATATATATATATATATATATATATATATATATATATATAATGGTTGGTTGGTATTTATTCATTTGTCATGCTTCATTTAATGTTGATGGTTGCAAACATGGACTAATGCCATTTCACTCTATCTTTACTTGGAAAAGTGGGTTAGGATTTGGTAGAATTGAATAACAAAAACTCAAGGCTTTAAACCTTGTGTAATAGAATCGCTTAGGAATAAGTTGGTTCTATTTGGCATAAATTGGTTGTTATTAGTTGCAACTCTTTTATATTTGAAAAAATCATAAAGAGGAAATACTACCTAACTATTGTGAAATATTGGTTAGTCATTTGGGAACCATTTGCATATCAAAGGACCTTCCATTAGATATATATCATATTAACACTGATAGCATTATATTCCATTGATGGGGATACAACCTTAGTTTTCTTAATCAAACTAATTACACTCTCATAACAAAATAGTTATCTTGTTAATTCACAATTACAACATTCTCTTTTTAAGCTAACGGAGTAGAATTACGACCTAAGTCAAGTTTCACACTACTCAAGTAACATTTTCACACCTATTCCCTCTGGGATTCGACCCCAACCTTGTTGGGTTATTATATTTGACACCGACCGCCTTACACTATTTATTTAAGTGTAATTTGAGCGTATCAAAGTTTGCGTCGTTTTCCGAAGAATACGATTTTGAAATTACTAATTAGTGTGTGCTTTACTTTACGTCTTCTTCTATTCCATCACATGTTACTTCCTTTGCTTGGTGTCACTAGGTAAACATGGGCGAGCCGGAAGAAGAGAATATTTTTGCGGATATAGATTAGTATATTGAGGATACAAATGTCATTGTCCCTCCAAGAGTTGATGCTGCTACCTTCAAGATGGAACACAATCTAATCCTAATGCTCAAAGTAGAGGGTTTTTTTTTGAAATTCCACATATGATGATCGTACACAACATCTCAGAAATGTTTTGGGTGTGTGTGCGATGCACTAGCAGAATCACGTCTCAGATGATGTCCTAAGGTTGAGGGTGTTCAAATACTCTCTAACTGGAGAGGTAAGACATTGGATCCAAAATATACCGCCTAATTCCATTCATACTTGGCCCGAACTTGTCCGAGCCTTCCTAGCAAAGTGGTTTCCGCAGAGGAAGAAGTCTGAGCTCCGGGATAAAATTTTCTTTTTCAGGAAATTAACGGTAGAGCATCTACATGAGGCATGGGATTGATTCAAGCTATATTTGGCGAGGTCGTCGAATCATAGTTTTCCGGATAATATCTTGTTGGAAAAATTTTACATGGGCTTGGATCCTATGAATCAATCCATAGCCAAAAATGCAGCTGATGGATCCTTTATGGATAAAACATTTGCAAGGGTCACACAAATCCTTGACAAAATGGCAGAACATAACCAAGCTTGGCACTCGGAAGACACCACGGGTGGAATTGCATATGGTACTCCTTCCTTGACCAACATGCTTAAGGAGAACCAAGAAAGAGATCAAGTGATTGCCGGGCTTGCCACCAATATCAATGTGTTGACGAAGATGTTCACTAAAAGCCAAACAAAAAAGGTGAATGTGGTGGAAGATGTTCAACTCATGTCAAATGAGGATTATGAGGAAGCAAATTATGTCAACAACTCTCAAGGAGGTTATCAAAGGCAACCCTACCAATGTTCAGGACAACAAAACCAATGGAGGCCTAACCCGCAAGGGCAACGCAACCAACAGTGGTGAAATGACAAAGGCAGTTCAAATCAAGGAAATTGGAGTAACAACAGCAGTAATTTTTCAAATCGGAGTTCCAACCCCTATGTTCCACCAAAGGGACAATATTCAAACTCTCTACATTGGAAAGAACGTTCTTCGAGTTAGTCCAAGTTGGAAAATATGCTTGAACGAGTATTGCAAAATCAAGATATATCTGAAACTTCAATGAAGAACATGACCGAGCTTGTGAGCTCTCATACTGCATCTATTCAAAAGTTGGAGATGCAAATGAGAGATCTCTCAAGAGAGAAAAATCCGAAGCAAAAAGGCACACTTCCAAGCGACACAATTGCAAACCCAAAAGGTAATGGGAGTGGCACAACTTCTCATTGTATGGCAATCACAACTCGAAGTGAGAAACTACTTCAGGGAGAGAATGAACAAGTGGTTGAAGTGGAAGATTTCGAACAAGAAGTCGAGGCACGAGTTGAGGTGCCAATTGTTGTTGAAGTTGAAAGACTCCCGAAGAAGGTGAGAACTCAAGAAGTGAACCATGAAGAGGTTAAGGAAAAGGTAATAGAAGCACCAAAAACTCTAGCACCAATTCCTAGGACTCCGTCTCCATTCCCTCAAAGACTTGCTGGGAGGGTTGATGATAGCAAACTTGAAAAGTTCTATGAAATTCTCAAGCAATAATTGATAAACATTCCGTTTGTAGAAGCATTTTAAGAGATGCCGCATTTTGCTAAGTACTTGAAGGACTTAATCACTAAAAAGAGAACCACCAAGAATGAAGTGGTGGATGTGACTCACCGGGTTAGTTCCATTATTGCAACAACCACGGTCCAAAAGAAAGAGGACCTGGGAGCTTTCACCATTCCATGCACTATTGGGTTGTGCGATTTTCCACGAGCCCTTTGTGATAATGGGGCTAGAATCAACTTAATGCCTCTTGCTATTTACAAGCAAGCGGGGTTAGGTATGCCTAGGCGTACAAGTATGAGGTTGCAAATGGCCGACCGTTCAATAAAGAGACCGGTGGGAATTGTTGATGATGTTCTTGTGAAAGTGGGGATGTTCCTCCTCCCTGATGACTTTGTTATCCTCGATTGTGCTGTTGATAAAGAAATCCCTATCATCTTGGGGAGACCATTCCTTAGTACCGGAAGAACACTCATGGAAACGAAATGAGATCAAGTTCCGAGTTAATGACGAAGAGGTTACCTTTCAAGCGAGTAAGGGTATGAAATTGCTGTATGCATACGAAAGTATCTCAGTCATTGATGTTGTTGATAAGGTAGAGGATGCAGTCGAGGTAAAGATGGAAGAAGAATGCCTTGTTGAGGCATTGGCGGCTATTTTGGTAAATTTTGATGGTAAAGACATGGAAGGATATGTGGAATCGGTAAATGCATCGGAAGGGCTTGGGTCCTACACTTATGCACCGAAGAAACTTTCTCTTGACTTAGAGAATAGAGTCACTCCTCCCACTAAGCCTTCCATTATTGAGCCGCCACAACTTGAGCTCAAACCACTTCCAACGCACTTAAGGTATAAATTTCTTCGCTCTAATGAAACTTTACCTGTAATCGTTTATTCTTTGTTGAATGATGTGCAGGTTGAACAATTGTTGAATACCTTGAGGGAGCACAAGCAGACCATTGGGTGGAAAATAGCGGACATCCGAGGGATTCCTTGCTGGGATTTGTGAGCAAAAGATACAATTGGAGAAAGAAAAGAAACCTAGCGTGGAGCATCAAAGAAGGTTAAACCCTTCCATGCAAGAGGTGGTGAAGAAAGAAATATATAATGGTTGGATGCCAGGGTTGTCTACCTCATTATCGATAGTCCTTGGGTGAGTCCGGTGAAATGTGTGCCAACGAAAGGAGGCATGACCGTGATTCAAATGACAAAAATGAGCTCATCCCAACGAGGACGGTGGCCAGGTGGAGAGTTTGCATGGACTATTGGATGCTCAATAGTGCTACTTGCAAGGACCATTTCCCAATGTCTTTTATTGATCAAATGCTTGATCGGCTAGCGGGAAGGTCATTTTATTGCTTCTTGGATGGTTACTCTGGATTCAACCAAATTAACATCGCTATAGAAGATTAAGAGAAGACAACATTCACATGCCCGTATGGAACTTTTACTTTTAGCCGGATGCCATTTGGGCTATGCAATGCTCCGGCTACCTTTCAACGATGCATGATGTCAATCTTCTCGGACATGGTGGAGGATTTCATAGAGGTGTTCATGGATGACTTTTCTATGGTTGGTGATTCCTTTGAGCATTTCCTTGACAACCTTTGGAAAGTGCTCAAAAGATGTGAGGAAACAAACCTTGTGCTCAACTGGGGAAAATATCACTTAAAGGTCGACGAGGGTATTACTCTGGGCCACAAAATTTCCAAACAAGGCATAGAGGTTGATCGGGCAAAGATCGAGATCATTTCCAAGCTTCCTCCTCCCACTTCGGTAAAAGGTGTTCGCAGCTTTTTGGGGCATGCCGGTTTTTATTGGCGATTTATCAAAGACTTCTCAAAATTGCAAGTCCCATGTGCAAGCTCCTTGAAAAAGATGCAAAGTTTGATTTCTATGAGACACTAATAAAAAATTTAGTTTTAGCGACGGACAAATTTTGTAGCTAAACAGAAAAATCCGTCGCTAATCTCATTTAGCGACGGATTAGCGACATATTATCAAGAAATTCTGCTAGCTACGGGCGATTTAGTGACAGATTAGCGACGACGTTCCTAGCTAATTCTAGTTTTTTTGTAGTGAGAAGTGCCTCAAAGCTTTTGAGGAATTGAAAGCGAGGCTCACCACGGCACTTATTATTGTCACACCCGATTGGTCTCTTCTATTTGAACTCATGTGTGATGCCAGTTGTGTAACTATTGGGGCGGTACTTGGTCAAAGGCATAATAAGATTCTTCATCGACACTCAATGGTGCACAAATGAATTACACTGTGACGGAGCAAGAATTGCTTGCTATTGTCTATGCTTCTGAAAAATTCTGGGCCTATTTGTTGGGTTCCAAAGTGATTGTCTACACTGATCATGCTGCTCTCCGCTACAATATAGCGAAGAAGGATGCTAAACAAAGATTGATTAGGTGGGTTATGTTGTTACAAGAGTTTGACTTTGTATTCAAAGATTGAAAATGAACAGAGAATCAAGTTGCGGATCACTTATATAGGCTCTAAGTGGCAGGGAGACCAAAAGAAGATCTTGAAATTAATGATGCCTTCCCAGATGAACACATATTGGCATTGTCTAGCACTTTCACTCCTTCGTATGCCGACATCACTAACTTCTTGGTTAGTGACCTTGTCCCCGACGGATTGGAAGCTTATCAAAAGAAGAAGTTCCTGCGGTAGTGTAGGCAATATTATTGGGAGGAACCTTTTCTGTTTTGGATTTGCGCCGACAATATCATTCGGAATTTTGTTCTGGAAGATGAGGTAATTCAAATTCTCAAAGCATGTCATGACTCCCCAGTTGGGGGACATCATAGTAGAAATCGAACTGCAGCAAAAGTGCTTGAATGTGGCTATTATTGGCCATCGATCTACCAAGATGCAAACCAAATGGTCAAAGCATGTGATCAATGTCAAAGACAAGAGTCAATTTCCAGGAGACATGAGATGCCTATGAACTTTGTGATGGAGGTAGAGATCTTTGATGTGTGGGGGATAGATTTTATGGGTCCCTTCGTAAGCTCTTATTGCATGACATATATCTTGGTGGCAGTAGATTATGTCTCCAAATGGGTCGAGGCAATTTCCTTTCCAAACAATGAGGCAAAGAGTGTAATCGCTTTCTTGAGGAATAACATAACGCGGTTTGGAACCCCAAGGGCCATCCTTAGTGATGGTACACTTTTGCATCAAAGCTTTTGCCGGGCAGCTCGAAAAATATGGAGTTAAGCACAAGGTGGCCACCCCTTATCATCCTCAGTCGAGCGGTCAGGTGGAAGTTTCCAACAAGGATATCAAAAACATCCTAGCAAAAACTGTGAATGCAAAAAGGACTGACTAGTCAAAGAAGCTAGATGATGCATTGTGAGCATATCGAACAGCATTCAAGACTCCAATTGGCACCTCACCATACCTGCTGGTTTTTGGTAAGGCATGTCACTTGCCAGTGGAGCTTGAACACAAAGCTATGTGGGCATTGAAGAAGTTAAATCTTGACTGGGCCGAAGCTGCTAATCTAAGGATGACCCAACTCAATGAGATGGAAGAATTTCGTTTCATGCCTATGAAAAGGTAACCTTGTATAAAGAAAGGATGAAGTTTGTTCATGACAAGAAGATTTTGAAGCGGGAATTCAAATCCGGTGACCTGGTCTTACTCTTCAACACAAGACTGAAGCTCTTTCTGGGCAAACTCAAATCCAAATGGTCTGGCCCGTTTAAAGTTGTGAATGTGTCTGCCTATGGTGTCATTGAATTGGAATCTGAGGACGAGACTCGAACTTTCAAAGTGAATGGCCAAAGGGCCAAGAATTACTTCGGAACCAGTGGAGAAAGGCACTAGGTGGAACAATACGCACTCAAGGATGGTCCTACACCAACCCCCACCAATGTTTTGCCAAAATGGGGGCCACATCATCGTTCCACGACACTAAATCAAACGCTTCTTGGGAGGCAACCCATGTGTGGTAACACATTTTGGTTAGAGTTTAATTTCGGCAAAGTTTAATTGTAAGTGTTGAGCAGTTTGACGTGTGTGCTAGAATGCAGGTGACCCAAAATACAATGAAACAGGATGCAAGGGCAGAGGAAAATGAAGGAAAGTAAGACATGTGTTCAACGGCAACATATGCGGCCGCATAATGGATTTGCGGACCGCATAATGGTCGTAGACACAGGCAAAAAAAAATTCTATTTGAGCGTTCAAAATTGCGGTGGAAATTTGCTTTCTACGGCTCGCGTAACGATTATGCGACCGCCGAACCTATCGCAAAAGCTAGTTTACAATACTCAGTCACTAACCCATCGCATAACACATATGCGGTTGCATAATGTGTTATGCGATGGGTTGCCTCACCGCGAACCTCTCAAGTATTTAGCCCTAACTCCCTCCGTCATTTTTACCATTCTTTGACACTCCCACACACACAAGCACACCGCACAACACAAAAGAAAAGATAAAAGCAACCAAAGACATTGAACCAACAACACAAAAAAAATCAAAAAGGAATTGAAACTTACCTTGCTCGTGCTTCAGACCAACATCGCCCAATCCTCTTGATATCTAGTATGTTCACTTCCACCTTCTTTCTTGCTTAATTAATTGAACAATGCCATATGTTCTTATTGCTATTATTTTCCCAACTTCTTGCTATGGATAATCCCTCGTGAGTGATTTTACTGAACATTTTAGGTTGGAGGCTATTGTGGGTAATCGAGGTTTCGGGATTTGAATAAGAAAAGGATTAAAGCAAAAGGTTTGGAAAGTTGTAGCATTTTTCTTAGATTTTGTCCTGCTGAGTGTGCAATGACCAAATGTAAAAAAGAAAGAACTTTGGACTGAATGTGAAGACCCTTTTTTTTATTGAGGACGATGATCTTTGCTGGCTGCATAACGGGTTCGTAGTCCACAGAATCATCACATTTTGCGTCATAGGTAGTTGCCTCAAAAGCCCATATGCGATGGGATTCGCGATCGCAGAAACGTTCTGCAGACCGCAAAATGGTCGCAAACAGAGGCATACAAAATGCTAAGTTCTGAAGAACAAAATATGCGGTCGCATAAGTTGTTATGCGGCCACTTCTGCGGACCGTAAAACTTGTTTTTCTTCCGAGTGTTGTATTATGTGATGGGTTCTGCGGATCACAGAGTTGTTATGCGATCGCAGAACCAACTTTGTTTTTCATTGTTATTTCTTTCTTAACATGTTGTCCATGCCATATCACATACTCACTTGTTGATTAATTGACAGGAATGGCACCAAGAAATCCCTAGCATTGTGACCACCTTCCGCTCGAGGAAAGAAACGAGTTGTTGCTCTGAGCCAACAATCATAGTAATCCAAACGCACATGGCCTGACATCGCCAGCAATATATCTGAGCATTCCTACTAGTCTGAAGAGAAGAGGCACAGACTGATCTTGTGCCACCAGTTGACCTCCATGCCGAAGCACGCCGAAAAAGTGGTGAAGATCTCAGGTTTGGAGTTA